AAAGAGAAAGAGAAAGAACAGAGAGAGAATGAAAAGAGAGAACAGAGATAGAGAGAAAAGAGAGAAGAGAAGAGAGAGAGAGAGAAATAGAGAGGAAGAGAGAGAAATAATGAGAAAGATAGAGAGACAGAGACAGAGAGAGAAAGAAACAGAGAGGAACAGAGAGAAACACAGAGAGAAAGAGGAAGATAGAGAGAAAGAGACAGAGAAAGAGAGGATAAGGGTGCTTTCTGAAGCACGGTTATTCCCGAACGGGCAATCTTTCTTCCGCTCGTTCTATAAGCTCGTGTACCACTCACCTCTATCTGCATCTGGTCGATCGCGGAAGTTTCCCTGCTCCTCATCGAGTAGTTCTCGAGGAAGGTACGATTAAGATTCATCTTCAATTCAGGACCGACTTGTTCTTCGTAGAGCCGCGCTAGGGCGCCGACACCTGCCTCCAGCACGAACACCAGCATCACCACAAACACGTACTGCGAACAGGAGCGAACGATCGATTAGTGGATAATTGATCATCGATCGCGGGATCAAGGTTGTCCGTTTCAGGTAACAGGTAGTCTCTGTTTCTCTTTGCTGTCGATAAAACTTCGTTAATTCAGGGGAAAAAGATCATCTTCTACCTTCTTTTTCGCTTCTTATTTACGAATTTTTCATTTCTCAAACTGTTTCTTTTCGAACTAACATAGATAAGTGTTCCGTCGCGCAGGTACGGAACGCGTGGGGTCATCGTTGACCAGGTTTACGGCACGCTCGCACTAGAAAGTTATTTTTGAGAACAAAGACGCTTCGTAGCTCCGCGAAAAAATAAGTAATTTCTTGCAGAACAATGCCTTGTCCGCGTTCTCCATAACCGAAGACGTGTCATAAACCAGGGTTCCTGAAGGGTCAATCCACACGTGCGTATAACGGCACTCTCGGCCGAGGGTTGACCTGGCGGGAATTTCCAACGCGTCACCGAAGGACAGCGAAGATTTCATGCACACTCCTTCGAAGGAAAAGCGCGCTAAGGGCGCAATGGAAGGGTGGGTGACACTCAAGGGGCACGTTGATTGGTAATTTGTACTTTCGTGAAAAACCAATCAGCGTGCCTTCTTGCACTTGGCGGGGGAGTCACTGCGGACTCCAGAAAAATTCGGCGATCGAGGAGGATTCGAAAAGGTTCCATCGAGCGAACACCATTAGATCTCCAGCCGTTCGAGGAGACATCACGCACATTTCGAGTCGCGATCGAACACTCGAGTTATTTAAAACAAGTCGTCAATCGTTTCGTGACGTACTCTACGTTTGCTACGTTCCGAGCAAAACAAATTTGAACTAGTTACCCAAAATTAATTTGGCGGGTAACAGTCGCGACCGCGAGCTTCCTTTTGAACATCGCAAAAGAACGCGACGCGACAATAAGCATACAAACGCATCGCTTTGATGTTTTGTTCCTCCTTGCTAGTGTTGGAGGTATCCGTAAAGGAAAATGCCGGCCAGTATATCGCGTTAACGAATCACTGATAGACCATGCCTCTCTTACTCTTACATTTGCTAAATATTTTTAAGAACGCAATGAAAATAGCTCAAATGCCCGCAGATTGACAGCAAAACGTGAACTGTGTCGTATGCGGAATATTCCGCGGGCGGCGATAGGAGACGATCGTCATGCGCGGAATATTCCGCTTACGGATGCAAATGCAAATTAATTTCATTCTTCCCGCCTTTCCATTTCAATTCGATAAAAGAAACCTTGAAACACGGTTAAAAAAGCTAAAAGAAAAAGATTTTACAGCCCCGATAGAAGATTTCTAAAATCTGCCGCAGCGAAAGGGTGAAGAAACTTCTGACGAACCTTTCGTTACCCAAATCTATAAAAACGGAGGAAATTCTTATCGATCGCGAATCCGCAAAAGCACAGTAGCAGACTGAATATTAAATAGATTATGTAAATTGATCAATCTCGCCGTTCCTTCAAATTACCAATTAGAAGACCGAGTATCCTTTCGACTGTAAACTTTCGCTAACGAACTTCGAACACCTCCTCAAGTTCGAAGAATGATTTTTAATTAAACGGAAAACGGACGTTCGTAAACTACACCCATCGGCGCGAGGCTTACTTGGCCGAGAGATCGAGCAAAACGCTGCGCGAAGCGTTTTAGAATTTTCATGAATATAAATCCTCGACTCGTCGACTACCCTCGTGAATATTCAAACCACGGGGGAACCTGGCCACACCGGCGATCGTTTCCACGAAAACTTTTCGCACGGCTAAGAAGAGCAAGTTGCTCGAAAACTCGCGGAAAACGTTGCTTCGTTTCACTTACACACTTCGAAATTTCCCCGCGACTTAATTTACCACGGCCAATCTCTTCGTTCAAGAAGAAGAAGAATTATTTCGAGAAACGATGGCGTGTGTGTGTAGCGAGGACAGAAAAAATCCGACAGGTTACTGTAAATATGTACAATTTTCAGGATTTTGTGTCATAACGCGTTGATAAACACATTATTTTCCCGAAGCGTAATAGTTCAAGTTTTTGGCTCCGTGATGGGCTTGCACGACTTTGGATGACGGCTTGCGTCGCGGTTGATCAACTCGTCACGTAGAACACTATCAGACTATTAGACCTAATCTAATCCCTATGTCAATAACCAGAATTGTCGTCTACTTTGTGGGAACCTAGGGAAAAATATTGAGGGATCCAACGGGAATCGAACCCGGGACCTACGGCTTAGCAAGCCGAGGCTTTGCGCGCTACGCCAACCACTCCCTCTCTATTCTCCCTTCGAAGTTTCCTATTTGGGTATGGAGGCCTCGATACTGCACTCGGCCATCCTGTCCTCAGTGCAACACAACTCAACACCCCTCGGATACACTTCCCCACACAGTGGCACTCTCAGCCGAAACTGTTTCTCAACTCTTTTTTGAGAGACGTGCAACCCTCTCACATGTTTTCATCTCACAGCGCCTGGCTTCGTGCAGCCGTAGATACCTCCATCCCGGGCGAGCCCCCATTTGTAGGAACCTAGGGAAAAATATTGAGGGATCCAAACGGGAATCGAACCCGGGATCTTGGACTTAGCAAGCCGAGGCTTTGCGCCCTACGCCAACCACTCCCTCTCTGTTCTCTCTTGTCGGTATGGAGGCCCCGGCACTACAACTTTATCGTCCAATTTTAGTAGTTTTCTGATAAGAAAATTCTAAACTTGAGGCAAACACGGATAGGAAATGTGTCAAATAAGAACGATCTGGCTGAATATTTCAAGTGAGAATTATGCAAAAGGGTACCCGGGTACACGGTTATTCACGTAAGGGTTAAAAAAATCCAGTTCACCTTGAGATTATCTAGACGGTTCTCCATGGAATATGGTAAACTAAAACTGATCAACGTCCAAAAGTAATTATGGATAAACTTGAAAAAATTGAACCGATTTTTCAGTTTCTTATTGTTTGTTTTGTTATCGAAGATAAATAAATGGCTCTTTCAAATATTCCTTTCTGAAATCTGGCTTCCAAAGGTAGTGTAGCTGGCCACCCCTGATCTAGACGGTTCTCCATCTACAACACTTAGGTAATAAATTAAATTTTTTAAATCAACACCGTATATACGTCACTTATTTAAAAAAAAAACTGTCATATCTGATAAAACATAGAAAATAAAAATTGACATGGCAATAATCGTTCCAAAAATGTTACTTCAGATTATTCGCGTTAGCCCCTTAAGCTATGATTTCTTTTCTGACTGTGCATCTAAGCGTCAGCCATTTTACCGTTTCAGTACTGTATCAGGTACCAAAACCCGATCTCTCGCAGATTAATTACATTTAGTAATCCTCAATCTTACAAATTCAAACGAAAGTTTCGGTTACAACGAATTTTTCTTATTAATGTAACTATTTTTCTCACATCTTGACTAGAATCTCCGTCACGAGTCTGACACGTTGTCATACGTTAAGGGGTTAATACGAGAAAAATTCTCGTAAAGCACGATTTCCTATACGCGTAACGTTTCAACTATCGTAATTTTACAATTACGAAATATCGTCAGCTGTAATTTCTCGCCAATTATCGCGAATAAAAGTGTTTAGAGAATTCTTTCGAGTGATCAATCGGAACGAAATACGAACGGTGAAGCGAGCGAGAACGGGGTGGTGAAATTACAGAACGCGATGTGTACACGCGGCCCAATTTAAATTCAATGCGGTACACGCGTGATATGTACATTACATTGGCCGCACAGCATCCGAGCAGGAACGGCAATTGACAGTTTAGAATTGGACAGAACCGCTGACAGCGAATAGACGGTCGATCATGAACACTGACTGCGGTCGCGGCAATCACATCCGATATCCGTGGACAATGCAAATAAATCGATTGCATCGAACAGAAACGTGCGCGCCGCTTCGATCCCCTATTCGAAACTGACGTGGCGGAATCATACGAAATAAAAGCATTCGCCGCCCTATCCAAATGGCTTTTGATCGTTCCGAAAAAAAATAAAAAAACATCGAATTTATTTACTCGTTTAGGGAGAATCTTTCGATAGAATTATTCTCGTTTGGGGATATTACAGCGATCTGTCGGTGTGCTGTGAATATGTTTGGACTTTCGAGGTGTGAGAGTGACTGATAACGTTTGGCTGACATCAAAGAATATCTTTCTTTTTTTAACGGTAAAACTTTAACAGGTTGGAACTGTGCAAAATGCAATAAAATGTATAAACCTGTACTTACTATACAGCAGGACTCCGTATAATGTGTAAGGAATTTTCTATTTCTTACGAGGGCATTCTGGAAATTTCTCGAACCGAAGATTGATAAACTTTTGTTTGTTTGGAATAACCGAGAACTTTCCCGAAACATCTACGTACATACTGTATAAATAAGAGGCGAGCAAGAAAAACGAGTCAGTCTGTGCAAATCGTGCAATAGTCTGTGTCTGTAAACTGTCTGTTTTTCACCGTTAGTGTAAATAATAATATATGTTGTAGATTTTTTTTTATCAAAAAGTTTACCGTGTTCCTTACAAATGCGATGAAAAAATTGCTCCTGTCTCCGTATAACGCGATCAAAAAAAGGGGAAAGTAAGATTTTGACATAGAAATTGCGAAGCTGAAGAAAATTCAACCGACGAAGAAACTGTATGAGTACTCAAAAAGCGATTATACAGGGTGTCCCGTAATGAGTGTAACACCCGGAAATGGGGGGTTGCTGGGGTGACTTTGAACAACTTTCTCCTTTACCAAAATGTTGTTTGAAGCTTCGTTTTTGAATTATTAGGGACGGGCGAAAAAGAGATTCACGTGTACGCGTTTGTTCACGATCGCGCGCGGACGAGTCCCAGCGCTCCCGTGCCTGGACGCGGGATCTACGCGCGCTCTGATTGACCAGTGTTTTTCGCTAGTAATTCAAAAACGAAGCTTCAAACAACATTTTGGTAAAGGAAAAAGTTGTTCAGAGTCACCCCAGCAACCCCCTATTTCCGGGTGTTACA